GGGGCAGACGTCTCAGGCGCACTGCTGGCGCGGGGCGCCAGCCCCTCTCTTTCAGAGACCCATTTCTGGTGCACTGCTGGCGCGCCGCCCCAGCTTCCTTGGCGCTACAGGGGCATGCCGCGCTAGCTTTCCTCAGTCAAATCTGACGAATTTTCCAACTCATTTTCTGATCTTAAGTCGATTAAATTCGATTCTTTTTCTCAATTTCTCTTTAGATTCAGATACCCAAAACATATACACTAGAATCTAACTCAAAACAACTCTAACAATAGACATTAAACTCTCAAGAATTCCTCAATCTCATCCCAAATTCAAGAACAAAAGCAATTCAAGAATACAACTCAAGAACATCAAATTCTCAATCTTTTAGGACAAAAATCATACTGAAATAGACATGTTTAGTGCGTGGGTAAACGAACCCAACACTATGTGAACTCACATACCTCATAGGATCGAATGCTTGGCAAAATCCGCAATCAATTCTTCAAAAAATCGACGAATCTAGACTTTTTCTTCTCCTTTCTCCTCTTGAGTTATTTTCTCTAAAACCCTAGCGTGATTTTGCAATTGTGTAAACTGAACCCATTCAGTATAGACCCTAATTAATTCACTAAAAAAAATTAAACCAATTGGGTATGGAAAAGACCAAAATACACTTTTAAAATCCGGTTTTGACTTTTCTTATCTAGATAACCCGACTTCAAATGAGCATATCTCCCTCATACGAACTCGAAAATAAGCAAACTCGGTGGCGTTAAAAATATAATTCAAAGATCTTTCCTACGGTATCTTGTAGCATACCTAACTCATCCTGAGTTTGGAGTTATGGTTGTTTGAAGTTGACTCAAAACTCATACTTAGCTTAACTTTGTCAAAGTTGGTTATTTCCAAAATGGATTTATTCTTAATTCTTGTTCTTCTAAAGCAGGTGTTACAATCGTAGACCAAGTAATGGGACCTTAAATTTTAGCCAATCTTTGATGGAACCCTTCTACTTTCCGTAGGACTTGCTACCTGTAGAACTCAACTTTAACCCCAAAATTTCACCAAGTATGGATAGATTTTATGGAACACACATCTACGACCCCTAGACATATGACGGACCATCTTGGTCAACCGTAGAATAAGGTACTAGACTTGATTTTCAAAAATTATTTTCCCTTTCTACGAGACTGGTCTACGACCACTAGAAAGTCCTACGAACCGTAAGCTGATCTCGTAACATTATAATACAAGCATGAAATACCCAACTTTAAGTTCACATTGAATAAAATCACTCCATCGTAGGACATGCATGATGATGTGACTTGGGGTTGTATGTTCTTCCACATTAAAGGGATGTGAATCACTAAGAACCCTAGTCTTTAATTGATCAAACTTCAAGATTCAATAATTTAGACTCGAACACAACTCATGAGCCCAGTTCTAGTGTTGCTATGACGAAGTCTTGCAGTTTTGCTCCAATGGTTACTTCTCTCAAGATGATATATTTCGTGAATATGCAATAGGTGAGCCTTTCAGTGGCCTTAATGCCACATATATTTATATATATATATATATGAGATTTGTAGTTCCCTAGTATATCACGGACTAAGACTTTTACTTTGAATAGGACTTGTCCTCCTATAAGGAAATTTCTGATTTCCTTCCTTAAAAGGAGTTTCATCATATAAGGAAACTTTTACTCCTCTTTGGACTTTAATTATACTCTTTATTTCTTTCCTTCTTTACTCATCTATTTATTTCCTTATTTTCTCCTTTGTTTCATCTATTTCTTTATTTCTTTTTTCGCTGCTTTATTTCTGCAATTTAATAGTTTCCTTCTTTGTTGCAATCTCTCATATCTGTATAGGCTGTCCGCATTCACGTCTGGAGCTAATAAAGTGCACACAAGACAATAAATAGTTAATCAGGTTCACTTTATCAATAATCAAACTACTTATATGTTCTCCTACATCCCAATAGTAACACACAACTTAGACTTTAATACAGCCTTTAAGTGTCCATGTGTCACTAGGCATGGCAAAAAATAAAGTATCCAGGAGTCACTCGACAAACACTTTGTATAGTACACACTATAATAGAAGGCTTTGGACCTACGAAAATAAATGGAAGCACAAATATTCAGGTAAAGGTGGGAGGAAAAAGGTCAACCTGGTACATGGATAGTGCATGCGCGCTCCAGACAGTTGCTGAAAATGGCAGAAAATTTCCTCTCATACTCTGATTTTCAAGGCAATAGTGAAGTCCTTGAAAATGATAAAAGTGAAATAATCAAAATTGACATAGTTAAAAAGTCATCATGTTCAAGAATTGAAGAACAACTTGTTGAGTATCTATGACATGGGTGACAAAGAAAACAATGTATTGTTCACATCAACTTAAGGTCTAGCGCCAAACTCTAACTAAGAGAACCTTCTTCTGAAAAGGCACAAAAATGTGTACAAAGTGGACATCATGTCTCTTCAATAAGATAATCTTACTCTCATCAACGTCATTAATGATATTTCTCTACTTCGGCATAAGAGAATGGGTCATGCTAATTTGAATCCATATTTGAAAAATACCTTTTCACAACCATGATCATATTCGTATGTGAGAAAATCTTTCACAACATCATTGATATTTTTATCTAATTATCTAAAGCAGTCCAACGTGAACCTGGAAATGTCTCTGGATCTAGGAGGAAACTCAACACCAGAAGTACTACTATCAGTCAAGATATTAATACTCTGGAACTGTACAGGCGCAGATAACGCAAACTTTAGGAATAATTTGCGAGCCTTAATCGAATGGAATAATTTAACTGTTTTAGATCTCATGGAGACAAGTATGCAAGATCACAACAACATACTACATGCTTTGAACTTTACTGACGAGTAAATATCTTAAAAGGTCATTCAACTTTGAGAAATTATGTTGTAAAGTCATTCAACTTTGTTTTATATCAATAAAATCACTCAACTTTGAATATTTCTTTTACAAAATCACTCAATCAAAATTACCATAAAAATAATTTTACAACATGGAGTAGGCATTTCCTCGTAGATTGTGGTCCCCTCGTTGGAGTGGTTTACACCTTCCATATCCAGTATTTGTTGCAAAGAGTAGCTGCTCGCTCACAAAATTGTTTAGTTGGAGTATAATGATAAGTGTTGCATGCTCAAGTTGGAAAGGGTTGCTAGTTATTAGAGGATGTGATAGAACTCCAAAGTTGTCAGCTCCTGAGTTAGTTCCACCTATGTCACATCTAGACTTATGAGACTGCCTGTTGGTAGTGGAGTAGGGTTTTTTTGGTTCATAGGCATGTTGGTTACTCCCTCCATAGTTGAGTAGTTCTGGTCAAAAGGAGTCAATGGGTTTGTGAGGTTCTAAAAAACCGGATGACCCGTATGTGTAGCTTGGCATTTCCATCATCATAGGCAGTTGGTGTGGTTCTTATGGATAACTTGGACAATATTGGGGTTGGAAAGGCTGAAGGTTGGGCTGATTGAGGTTGACGTTGTTGTTTTTCATGACCATTCAGTGATGGTAGTAGTGAGGATTGTTTGGAATTGTTAATCTTAAGCTTTGGCAAGGGAGGGAATTTTGGATATTGTTGTACTGTGACATATTTACTACTAATAAAATTTTGTGGTAGTTAGTATATGTACAAGACATGGTATGGCTTATAAAGCTCGAAGTAGGTAGAATGAGATCATTACCATCAGTACTATGTTGTACTATAAGATCTTCTATTTCTTCTTCCCAATTTTTGAGAGGTGCATTACTTTTGAAATGGTTTTTGGGATATAATTTATAATTGTACTATGATCTAGCTGTTCAATTTCCAATGAAAATTGGGTGGTATTTTAGAAGTAAAAGTAATGATGCAAACTTTTAATCTGGAAAAACAAATTGGACTAATGTTAGGTGAGGTAATAATTCTAACATACTCATTTGTACATCTCTTATAAATATTTATCCAATACTACTTATCATCCAACACTTAATTGTATTTATATACTTTCCTACTGGTATAAGTTACTGATAATTATATTCTTTTCTTAACTTCACCTCAAGAAAATCGAAGAACAAATTTTCAAGGAAGATGTTCAAAACTTCAGGATTGTGAAAATATACTTTGCGTGATTTGTGAAAAAAATTCCGTCTCAAAACAGATTTTTTAAGTAACAAACCTGTCAAGGAATAAATTTCTAATCCCTGCCAATCAAGAAATTAAATTGCAAACGTTTTTGTATAAGTAATAGACTAGAGACGCGAAATATACATTCAGTTAATTATGTAGCACATCAATACCTATGGTTCATAATTAGAGAAACATTAATTAAAAAGTCTGATGATGTTTCTAGTTTTATTTGTTTTTAAAGATCCTCTTCCTCAAAACCGTAGTAATAACTCAAAAAAAAAAAATTAGAGTGTGTATTTTTTAATGTAGAAATATTTTATTACTTTAAGATAGAATTGTTTCTTGCTTTCACTTTCACTACTATAAAGAAAGGGATATATATTAGGAACAAAACTTTCCTAGTTAGGATTGTATTAATGTATAATTAGAAGATGGAAAATGAAGAATATGCCATTTTTTCTAATTTGAATAAGAATGCAATTATAGGTGTGAAAGTTGCATAAATAAGTAGTGCATTTTCGAATACAAAGCTAGTGTTAAAGGGAGGAAACTCAAGTTGATACATGCAATACAATATTTTTTTTAAATAATATATAGTAATTAAGGCTAGTTTTGGGAATTTATATTTGGGGGAAAACCATCCATATCTAATTATGAACTTATAATTGAAACTCCAAGTCAGCCTTGTCAGGGATGGAGGTTGCCTTCTAACAGGGTTCATCCGAACCTCCTTCGACAGAAAATATTACTATTTATATATAGTTAAAATTATTATTTATGTATATATAATAATTATTGAATCCTCTTCAATTAGTTCATGTGTTTAGTCCTTCGGATTTTAAATCTCTTATTAAGAATTTTAGCTCCGCCACTAAGCCTTGATGTCCTCTTTGTTAGCCTCCACCACGTCCTCTTCCTCTATCTCATTTTTACTTTGTTCCATCTCTTTTTTCTGCCCCCAAAGAAAACCATACAGTCCAACAACTGTCAAGATTGACCCCACCACTCTGTCCAAAATTAACAAAAGCCAAATCAACTCAATCTTATACTATAGTATATTTTCTCCGTTTTAATTTATGTGATACATTTTGAATTTTGAGATTTAAACAAGTTTATTCTTAATTGTAAATTTTTCATATATCTTTTAAATATATTTTGAATTATCAATTATTGTGACTTATAGTACTTTATACGTAGTTTATAAATATAAAATTTTATTTAAAAAAAATGAAGATTTCATGTGCATGTCAAACTTTAATTGTTTGATTTTCGACAAACAAAATGTGTCAAAATAAATTGAGACAGAGGGAATAATATTTTTTCTGTTCACTTTTACTAGTCACATTTACACTTGACACACTTATTAAGAAAACAATAATTAGCATGATTATTTTACCACTCTATCCTTATTAATTGATGTTTAATATTAAATCCTTGAAAAAATAATTAATTAATGATAAGGAAAAACATGAAAAAATAATTGTCTTTTATTTTCTTGAAATATTAAACTTGAAAAATAAAATTTATTTTTAAAATAGTGAACAAATAAAAATAAACATATGAGATGTTTTTGTTCACTTACATTCCAAGGTATAATTTCTCTCTCAACAGAATCCAACTAAGAAAGGCAGCAATAACAAGTAACAACGGATTGAACATCGAGACATATAAAGGACCTTTCCTTTCTATACACCAGGAGCATAAGTATAATGCTAGTGAAGAGCACACAGTTCCCTACAGTAAAAATCAAATATTTTTAAACAAATTAAATAAAAGAAACCAAACTAATATTTTGGAGAGGAAATTAAAGATACTTACATTATAAACAACAGAGATAGCTCTAATAGGATTTAAAGCCCATTCAGAAGCTTTTGGTACGACACAAAAGCTGATAATCATGCACTGGAAACTTGCCATGAAGAACATCAAAAGGGTACTAGAATATGGAGCTGCATACTTCTCATTCACTCTTGCCTAACATAAATAAAAATAGTCAAATAGTAAGAATTATTTTATTTACTCCCTCCGTTTAAAATAAGAATGATCTAGTTTGACTTGAAACAGAGTTTAAGAAAAGAAAGAAGATTTTTTAATCTTGTGGTTCTAAATTAAAATTATATCAAATGTATCAAAATACCCTTTAATTTTATGGTCTTAAACATGTCACGTGAAAAGTTAAAGTTAAAGTGTTGACAAAAAAAGAAATGGGTCATTCTTTTTTAAACAGACTAAAAAGGATATTGGATCATTCTTTTTTAAACGGAGGAAGTAATTTTTTGAAAAAGGAAGAAATGAATTAAAAGAATTATAAAATTAATTACTTGAATGATTAACCATAATGCATAGGTAATACTGCTGATTATGAGTATAAAAGGTCCCAAAAGGAAGTTGGTATGTGTAGAATTGACATCCTTGTCATCAGTAGTGTTTTCAACATATTTCCAGTGAAATCCCAATTGGCCAATCACTACAGGTCCACGATACAATGACAATAACATTGCCCCTCCAACACACACTATAGTTCCAATCAATTTGGCTTGTCCTGCTATACTTCTTAGTCCCAATTTTTCAAGCCTACACATCAACTAACACAATTCAATTTTCAATTTTTTTTATATAATAATGTAGGAGTAATATTTAGGTTATGTTGCTCAGACTCTTCAAAATCGTCAATGAATATGTGTCGGATGAATGTATTTTTGAATAATCTGACACTGTTGTGACATCGAAACTGAAGAGTCCGTGCAATTTAGTATTTTAGAGAAAGAGAAATACCCGAATGGGACGGCTAGGAGAAAAGTGAATGCTGGGATTAGATTATCGAGGGCGGAAACAATCGTCGGAGTAGTATATTTTAACCCAATACAAAATGTATACTGGTTCGCAGTTATTCTGTACGTTCATACAACAGAAATAATGTTAATTAATCATATATTATACTAGTTGACATAACACTCTCATGTATGTATATTATAAAATAAATATAAATAAATGTAAGGTTCGACTATTATCAATATTTTTACTAGAGCTTTAATCTTTGTCCTTGTTGTACTAGTAGGTCTGCCACCATACATGTTTTGCTCCACCTCGCCGGTCTAAATTTGAAGTTTCTGGATATTTGAAATTTTAGTCTATTTGAATTATTTCGTTCTAATTTATTTTTATATATAGTTTATACATACTCATCCACAGATTTCTTGAGATGCATATAAAATTTTGATCAAAATTATTGAGTTCTACCAACTCGTAAGTCGTATAGTAACTCCACCCTAGGTCCTGTATTATTTATTAACCCTATCCCTTATGTGACTAAACATCGACTTGACACAACTCTTACATTGGATTTCAACTGAACGCTATATATATATATATATATATATATATCGTAAAGGGTATGCAAATACCCTCCGTCATACTTTTGGGATATTTGTGCCTCTGCCGTCCAAAAACTAGAGCATATATGCCATTCACTCTAACGAAAGACTAAATAGGGACACGTGGCGCAATCTTATCCGTCGATCTGATATTTAATAAATGTCGGATTGGTGGATAAGATTATGACACGTGTATGCCCGTTAGTATGAAGGGCATATATGATCTAGTTTTTGAACGACAGGGGCACCAATGTCCCAAAAGTATGACAGAGGGTATCTGCATACCATTTACGATAGTTCGGGTATATTTATCCTTTTTTCCATATATATATAAAATTAGCTTAAAATGAGAAAAGCAGATACGAAAGATACAAGTGTATGTTGTCGGCCATTAATTAATTTTTATTTACTTCATAATTCATATGATTAAATTATTTTTACATTTTAATAGATTATTGGAATACTTTTTTCATAGCTCACTTTAATTAAAACATGTTCACTTTATCAAATAGGAGAGCAGCAAGTGGAAAGACTAATTGCTTACCCGATAATGGAACACAAGAAAATTTGAAAAAATACAGATAGGCTCAACTTTGGTCTTGTTTTCCTGCATCAACATAAATTAAATAGCTGAATTAAACATGGATATCTCGTGTATTATCTATTTTTTGTACTAAGGGTGTATTCGATATGAATCCAATAATTTTCTCGACATGAAAATAAGCTCCTTAGTAACTTTCATGTATAATGAAAGTAGGAAAAACAAGTTACATCGATGACATTAATTTCACATTAATTATGTCATCCTCACCCTTCAAGAGATGAATGAAACCATTTTCGTTCATTTTGGTCCTTCAAGTGTCTTGGATGATGGCTAAGTAATTCAACTTGAACATTTATATCAAGTTGAGTAATTTTTTTAATACAAAACAAAGTTCAATAATGACTTTACTAAATAAATTTCCAAAGTTGAGTGAACTTTTACGATATTAACTCTAATTAACCCTATTTCGAGCAAAACCGTTGCTTGAGGGAAGTACATGTTCTTGAGAGCAAGGACTAACCAAACTATAAGAACTTTATATTGTCCAAAGTAATATAACTTCTTGTAAAATGTTATTATATTTGTCTAGGTTATCACTTCATATTATTGATAACTAAACTTCTTTGTAATGTCAGAGTGTGAAAATCAAAAAGATGATAAATAACATTAAGAGGGAAGTAATAATAATAATACCTCTCCAAAAAGTAAGCAAAGGGTGCAATTGAAATTGTGGCAAATATAGGTCTGTATGCTGTCTGGACAAAAGGGTCCATACCAGTATCCATGACTAGTTTTGTCACAACATTTGATCCAGCATAGCCTACTTGTACAATCACCATTGCAATAAATGGCAACAAATCACTACCCTTTTTCTTCATTATTAGTGAAACACTATATATGAACTAATAATGCTAAATTATTATTATATGAGTACCTAGTACTAGTATATATAGTGATAACAAGTGAATAATGAATCTCTGACTCATTTAATTGGTGAGTGGACCAGCCAAATAAAGATATATGTTAAAAGGATATTCCTTCCCCCAACCCAACTAGGAATAATGGGTGTGTTTGGTAGGAAGGAAAATGTTTTCCTGGAAAACAAGTAGGTTTTTAACTTATTTTCTCATGTTTGGTTTGTGAGTAGAAAATGTTTTTTGGAAAATATATTTTAGTGTTTGATTTAGAAATGAAAAATATTTTGAAAAAATATCTTTTATTTTTATTAGAGAGTAGAATTTTTTTAAAATTGAAATTGAAAATATTTTTTAAAAATAAACTTAATTTTTTCTGGGGGTGGAGGTGGGGTGGGATGGGGGGTGTGGGGTAGGGGGCCTGGCGCAGGGGCTAGGGATGAGATGGGGTAAAAAGATAAAAATTTAAAATTGAAAATATTTTTTAAAAATAAACTTAATTTTTTTTTAGGCGGTGGAGGGCTGATGAGAGGGGTAGGGGTGGGGTGGGGTGGGTGGATAAATAAAAAATTGTAATTGAAAATCTATCTATATTTTTTACTATATAAGAAGAGCGAATAAGCACACTCTTCTCTGTTAACACGTATGCTTACGTGAAAATACACTCAATTAAAGGATTATTTTTGTCATTCTATGCTTTACTTTACATAAGTGTTGAGTACCTCAATACTACGAAATCAGTTAATAGCCTCCACGTGGGGCGGACGATGAAGGTACTTGTGTAAATAAATCAAAATAGAGGGTTGCTTTATGGTATTACTTTTCAAACTTGAAATATGATTGTACTTGCCTGCTTCATAAATGTACTTCCTTTTTGTTGGACACAAAAATCATTAGCTTTTTTTCCTCTTTTAATTGTGTGGGCCCTATTATTACTTTTGAACACCATTTCATTTTTCCTTGCATTGTTCTTATATTTTATTATTTCCAATTTCTATCCTCCAGGTATCTTTGAATATTATTTATTTAATTAATTAATTCATTAATAAATTATTTATATTGTTTCTTCCATTTTAATTGTTTCATCTTCTTTTTTTTTTGCACGAAGTGTTAAATATGAAGAATATTTTTAAATTTTGTAATCTTAAATTTAAAATATATCACATATATGAACGTAAAAGTATTTCTAATTTTATAATCATTGATACGCTATGTAAAAAAATTAAAATTAAGAAGTAATTTTCTTTTTTAAGTGAAATAAAAAAACATGTTCAAATAAATTGATACAGAAGGAGTCATATTTTAAAAAATAAAATAAATATGTGATATTATTAGAAAGAGCTTTAATATATATTTTAAAAATTATTTTGTCTTCCGTATATTATTTTGTGCATATATGTGGAGTTTTAAAGTTTTAAACATTTTAATATAGAAATATGATTATTTGAAAATTTTAGTACTTTCTTCATTTAAATTTTTTCTTGTTTTTCTTTTAATTTGTTCTATATTTAAAAATTACATAAAAAGTACTGAAAATCACAATGTAATAATATAAGATATTAAAAAAAACATAATTAAAAATCATAAAAGAAATTTTATTGACTCTTTAATTCCATATTGAAACAAAAGAAGTTTGTTTGAAAATAACATAAAAAGTACTGTAAATTAAAGTAAAATAACAACTAAAAATATTTAAGAATCATATAAGAAATTTAGTTGACTTTCGTAAAAGTTCCTACGTCACGTAAAATGGAACAGAAAGAGTAATATATATTATTTGAAAATGATATAAGAAGTGCTATATATCACAATAAATTAACAACTTCAAAATATATTTAACAAAATCACATACAAAAAATTATATAACTCTCCAAATTTCATCGATGTCACATAAATTGAAACAAAGAACTACTCCCAATTTATGTGACTTACTTTCCTTTTTAGTCAGTCCCAAAAGAATGTCACATTTCTATATTAAGTAACAATTTGACTATAAAATATTTATTTTAACCATGACATAATTTACAGTCACACAAATTTATATAATTCATTTTGGACCACAAGTTTTAAAAGTCTTCATTTCTTTCTTAAACTCCGTGGCAAATCAAATTACCTCACATAAAATGAGATGGAGGAAGTAATATATATTGGGCCCGCGCTAGCGCGGGAACCTAATATCTAGTCTAGTATAATAGGAGAAGAAAAAGTGACACATGTCATCACCACATAAAATTAGATTTTTTAAATAATTTAAATTAATTATATGTAATCTATCGATATATAAAAGGAGAAGAAAAAATAACACATGTCAACACCACAAATTTTCAGTATTTTAAATAATCTATCTATATATAAAAGGAGAAGAAAAAATGACACATGTCAACACCACAAATTTTCAGTATTTTAAATTAATTTTAAATAATTAATAGTCAATAATCAAATAAATAAATATAGACACATGTCAATAATTAGAATAGGAACGACACATGTCAACATCACAAAAATAAAATAAAAATAAATAAATAAATTTTAAATAAACTATTTAAAATACAAAAAATAAAAAAATACCAACGGACAAAAAAGTAAAAAAATGTTAAAATAGGTTTATATATATATGTCATAAAATTACTACTCGTTTTATTTTTAAAATGATTTTAAATTATTTTTTACAATTAAACAATAAGTAATTTTAAGAACTTTCTAAAAATATGGTGATATAATGTGCGTGATTACCTTTTTTTTTAAAAAATTTTTAACTAGATTTCCATAACCTCCTTATTTATAGCAAAAAAAAATATAGATGATAATAATTATAAATTTTTAATTTTTTAAAAATCATTTCATTAAATAGTAAAAATATTTTTATTTTATCTTTTAAAATAATTCTGAAGTAGTTTTTACAAATAAACGAGAAATAATTTCAAAACAATTCTTTTTTTTTCCTAAAATTAAAAATTGGTTACTATTCTTTGAATTTGAATTTTTAAATTTACTGCTTTGAAATAAAAAAAAATAAAAAAAAAGAAAACTAAAATTTTTGGTAAGTACGTTAGGTATCCTATTTTTGTGGGAAATTATCAAACGGTTTATACTAAATATTTAAAATAATTTTCCACAACTACTCCTTCGTAACAAACATAATGCAAATTGCTTACACTAATTCCTTAAGCATAAAAATAAATTAATAGCAAGTATCAGACTCATTTTATAATGCAATTTTTTTTTTATAGAATAAAATTATTTATTTCATACTTTTATGTAGATTGTTGTCACATTCAAAAAAAATTCTTTAGTTTTAAAATTTTCAAATACAAAATATTTTATCAAATTAATTACTACTAATTAAATATGAAATATACTAAGATTATATAATAAAAAAGATTTAAAATAGGGTGATGCAGTTACAAAACGAAAAAAATGAATTTTAAATTATTAAAATACAATAAAAATTAAAATAGGAGAAGAAAAAAGTGTCATGTGTTAGCACCACAAAAATTTAACAATTGAATCATTATTATATTGAATTAAAATATTAATTTAAAATATGAAATATTTAAATCTGAGTATATCTATTTAAAAGATAAAAAATACTTTTTAAAGTTTAAACAAAGAAGAAGAAGAAGATAAAATCAGAAAAGGAATAATAAAATATTAACTAACTAATTATAAATATGTGGCTATAATAACTACTCCACTCATGATGAAGTCTTTTAAAACAAAATTTATATCTAATTAATAAAACTATTTTAAAATCCGACATTAAATTTTTTTTAAAGATAATTTATATTTATGACAATGAAATCAATGATTATATAAATCTCTTCATTTGTAAGGTCCTATAACAAATGGATAGTTATTGCTCAATATTGTGTGAATATCACTGTTAATGACATAAAGAATTCTAACAAATGAAGATCTCTTATTGTCATACATACTTGTCACTATACATAATTTTCCAAAGATTTCAACAAATTACAATATGCATGATTTGAATAATTAATTTTACCGTAAACAACACACAAATATTTTTAAATTTTAAAATAGTGAAAATATTTTAAATATTTTAAAGGTAACATTAAAAATTAAAAATATTTTTTAGATAATATTAAAAAAAAAAAAAGAGAGAGAAAGATAAGTGCGCTTTTTTCATATGAGATTTACCATAAATATTTGAAAATATTGAATTCAAAATATCAATTTAAATTTTTGAAATTAAACATAAAAAATATTTAAAATTGGAAGATCTTTTTGAAGGATAAGACTACTTTTTTAATTCTATATAAAAAAAGAAGATAAAATTAGAAAAGGAACAATAAAATATTATATGTGGCTAAAATAACTAATGGAGTCTTTTAACACATAATTTATATTTAATTAACAAAATAAATTTTAAATATGAAACTAAAATCTAAAAATATTTTAGAAGATAGGGATACTTTTTAATTTAAACAAAAAAATGAATAAGATAAAATCATAACAGTTACAAAAAAAAAAATGCTAACCAACTATTTTTAAATACATAGCTAAAATAATTACTCCACATACATTACACACGATGGAGTCTTTTTAAAAAAATTAAAAATCCAAGTATTTTAAATCTAAAAATCATTTAAAAGGAAAAGGATATTTTTCAATTTTAAACAAAGAAAAAAAGAAGAAGATAAAATCAGAAGAGGAACAAAAAAATAAAATTAACTTAACTATGTTTAAATGTGGCTGAAATAACTGCTCTCGTGTACTATGGATTCTTCTTTAATTCATATTTATCATTTTCTTTTTACAATATTTGTAGGCCTAAAATTTAGAAATGTCAATTTGTTTATTTAAAAAAAATCGTGTTTGTCCTTATTTTTTCTATTTATGTTATATATATAATTAAAAATAGTTGTGTTTTTAATTTTTTTAATGTATGATTTATGACATTTTATTTTTAATATCAAAGTAAGATATGTTACTCCTCCATTAGTGAAGGAGA